TACACACACACACACACACACACACACACACACACACACAAACACACACAGTATACACCACGGGCCCACAAACATGTACACATTAACACGCAAGCGTACAATCTAACACATACGCTTAAAAAATAATATAGCTAGCGCGTGAGTCATGGAAATGTGGTTAATGAGCCACTTGTGAGCGAGAGACAAAGATACAGCCCTCGTGACATGACTATGGACAAAGCATGGCACTGCGCACTATTGTATCGAGGAAAAGAGAGGGTCAGTTGGTGTCCAGCCTTGGAACGGTCAAGTTACAAGACACTTTTCAACCTGGGATTAATTCAGGAGGTTTTACTTTACTTCTAGATTTACATGTATCACGGTTATGTTTAATCGGAGAGGGGCAGTTTCGCGAGTTTTCTTGGAGCAAAGCTGCTGCTCCATGCTAACATGTCTATATTATATCTATGTCCTTTGGAAGATGAAATTTTTTGGAATTTATAGGCTATTATCTCATATCTAGCACTGTTATGTCCTATAGGAGACTAAATTTCAGAGATTTTTCTTGGTTCTATTATGGCAGCACCTGTTTCCTTTCGTAGATGGACAGTTCAGGGGATATTTCTTGGCTCTCTGCTACTAAGGCTGAACCTTGTCCTAATCAGAGATGGAAAGTTTGAGATATATTTCTTGGCTCATTGCGGACATGGCTGTCCTTTGTCCTATCGAGGTTAGAAAGTTTCAGGAATATTTCTTGGCTCATTGCTAAAAAGCTGAACTTTGTCCTATCACAGATGAAAAGTTTCGGTGAAATGTCTTGCCTATTCGTTAACATTGCTTTGTCCTTTGTCCCATTAAATGGAAAGTTTCGGAGATATTTCTTTGCTCTTTGCCAGCATGGCTATGCCCTTTCGAAGATGAGTTTTTCAGAGCAGATGACTTTTGTTTGAATCCCCAAAGAGGCGTTCTTAACTAAGATTGGAAATAATTCAAGGCTCTCCTTCCACATGGCTAGGTCCTATCGGAGGTCATACTCTTTCACGTTCTCTTTTCAGTTGTCTGTCTATCTGTCAACCTGCCTGTCTGTCTGTCTCAGCATCTCTCACCCTTCCTCTCCTTTCCCTCTTATTTCTTTTTTTCTCTATCTCGTCTCTGTTTATCTTTTCACTCATCTCGATCTCATTTTGCTCTCTCTCTCTCTCTCTCTCTCTCTCTCTCTCTCTCTCTCTCTCTCTCTC